ATTTTCTAATTTTTATGGATTTGCAATAGATTTTATATTGTACTTTTCACCGCAAACTGTGCACTTTCAGTTCTTATTAGTTGTATAAAGAAAATCTCAAAGTTTAATTAATATTTCTCATTCTCCTCAATGAAACAAAGGATTTATACATTGCGATATTTAATAATTCACTTACAGTGGAGAATAAAACTGAAAGACAACTCCAAGGAGTACTAATTAGCGCAGGAACTTATTGCACTGCAATAATAATTTTGTAAATATCCGATTTTATTTACCATTAATAAATTTTTAAAACAGTAAGTTTAACTTGAAATGATCAGGGTGGTTCTTATCTGGCTTGAAAGGGCGGTCCAAACTCAACATGAAAGAGAAACCTACTTACCTTTGAAGAAGGTTTTGCAACAAGTACTCTAAGCTGCCTTGCCTTAACTGGGGTGGTTTTCAAATAACAGCACTAGGACATAGTCTTCTGAAATGCCAATTGGAGCTTTAGATTTTATCTTGAGTTTAGCGTTCTCATCAATATAGCTTTTGCCTTACACATGAGTATGTTTTGACTGTCTTTCTGCTTGAACAGAGAACTGTTAACCTCAGGGTGGGAACATGGATGTCCTCATGTTTTAGTCTATCTCTGTCCTATTTATTTTCACGTGCTAATTTTGTATGATTGCTACAGTTAAGCCATCAGTCATAGCATCCTGGGATTGAACCACCATTTGAACTTTTTTCATATTCAAATAGTCATACCTTATTGCCTTACGTTACCCCAAATACAACATTATTGTACTCTTCTTTACTTACCTCCCAAGTTTGCTTAATGTACCACTGGCTTCCTATTTTTTATATTATTAACTTTGTTTCCCCTATAATGATCAGGAATCACATTCAAGGATATCCATCAATTCGTATCTTTCGTAAAGGAAGTGATGTGAGGTAAATACTACAAAATTTTGCCAACTTTTAGATTATTTTGAACTGATGTCTATTCATTTATTTATATTCAGGTTGTCATTTATTTCCTCCTTCTGTTCTTGGAGTTTTAGTTATTCTAGGTTGCATTTAATTATTTAAAACTTTTTTCCTTTGGATCTTCATATAACTTGTGTGTGCATTTATTAAACATCACCTGTGGTTTGGAATCTTTCTATGTGCTCTTAGGTTTCATTTCAATATGCGGATTTAAATGCGAGTTTTGAATTTAATTTTTGACTTAAATTGTTTGTGTCAAATCAAATGTCAAAAGAATGGAAAATGTAGAGTTTTGATATATGGAAAATAAAATTATGTTTTTAAGGGAATTAGTGAGTTAACTCGCAATAACATTTTCTTGATTATTTGAAATCCATGTTATCGTAAATAGTCAATTCATGTATAATGCAAATCCAAATCCTTAATTTCCAAGTCATCTATCTAAATGCAACCTTAGAGCCATTAAGGTCTTATCAATACATTTCTGATGCCTTGGTTGTGATGTGAAGCTATGAGCATAGTTTGCTCATTCCATGAGCTTTATAAGATGATAACAGTATATAAAGGTCAATTCTCTCTCTATCTCTCTCTCTCTGTCTTCCTCTCTCCCTCACTCCTTCGCTCCCTCCGCCCCCTCCCCTGTTTCAGTTCCTTTTTATTTTATTTTTTCCTTGTTATAGACCCTGAGTAATTTGTTTGATACCTTTGTTTCTCAAATTCAGATATCAAATTTTTGCCCCCTTGGCCATGCCTGTCTTGTTCATATGAAGCTTACCTTAATCAACCTCTTTATCTGGAATTCTGTCACAGGGATGACCATGGACACCATGATCATGAATCTTATTATGGAGATCGAGATACAGATAGTCTGGTTAAGGTACAAGCATTCATAAGTTTCAATTAGCCTTACAGTTTCCTATGTTTAACTTTGACTTTGAACTTGTTAATACTTGTTGATGAAATTTTTGTTCAATACCCCAAATGAGATTGCAAACCCCTCTGATATGAAGTTCTCATCCTTGCAGACAATGGAGACTTTGGTAGCACCTATCCCTGTTGAGGCTCAAAAACTTGCTTTGGAGGGTAAATCTGACAATGGGACTGACAATGCAAAAAGACCAGCACCACTGACAGGAGGGTGTAGAATTGAAGGCTATGTGCGTGTGAAGAAGGTGATCTTCCATTGATTGAAATTAATAGAAGCATTGGGCATGTTAGCATGTATGAAATTTGTTATTCCCACAGAACTCCTTGATTTCTTCCTCTGCTCCCAAACCATCTCACATGCCTGGAAATGCGATGAAAAAGGAGAAATGAAAGGGTAGTTTCAACTACTCTTATCCTTCTTTCTTTTTCTAAAGCATGCCTTGAGGTGCTTCACATGCGTAGAATTGGTATGAATAAAGAGAAAAATGTGTAGGGGGGCAGTTGTTGTGACTGCACAAATTTTGGTTACCAGAGCGGTGCACATATGAGTTGCCCTACTTGAGAGCCACATGTGCAGTCATGACAGCCACAACTGGCCTTGGGTTCTTCATGAATAAAATTTAGCCGTGTTAGGAACTAAGCTACAGTTGTGTAGTTGGTACCCTTACGAGTCCTACCAAAAGAGAGAAAAAAAGGTCCTTAAGCAAGTTCTTGTACTTGATGGTTAACATGAACAAACAAAAGAGAGAATATGGTACCAGTAAAATGCATTATATCATTATCACAATTCTCCTGTCAATTGAGCCAACAATGAAACTCTTAGCTACTATCATTCAGTAGGAATTTAGGTATGATTTGTCCTCTACTGTGCAGGTTCCAGGAAACCTTGTCATTTCTGCGCATTCAGGAGCCCATTCCTTCGATGCTTCTCAAATGAACATGTCACACGTCATATCACATTTTTCATTCGGTAGGATGATTGCTCCTAAGGTGATGAGTGATGTCAAGCGATTGGTACCTTATCTTGGTGGAAGCCATGACAGGTTGAATGGTCGGTCTTTCATAAATCATCGTGATCTAGGTGCTAATGTTACAGTAAGTTTGTCACTCTACACATCTTGGCATCGTGTTTGCTTCTCTATTGTTCTGTGCTTGTCCATCAGCATCTCAATGTTTAAGTGAAATCAGCAATATATAGCTGCATGTCCATGATTTTTAGGTGTATGGATATTGGTGCATTGAGATGGGTGGCACACACAATATATTATGTTTCATTCTAGAATTTCTCTGTGGTTCAAATACTTTTTGAATGATCCATGCATCTGTCCCTGCTCTTTTGAGCTTTTAAATGTGTCTACTCTTTCTGAATGATCCTATTTTATAATGTTGGCTTATAAATTCACCAATATCATTCAAAACTGTCCATTTTATTGTATTGATATTCTACCTCCCTAGAGATGCTTTTACAGCCAACAAACGTTTCCTTCTGGATGGAGTTGGAATACTAAAATAATTTTTTATTGTTTTTTATGGTAATTTTCTTTGAGTCCTAAAAGAGTGTAGTTTCCTCTTCTTTTATAGTAAGTTTCTTTCAATAATTATTGCATCTGCTCACAATATTCCTGGAACCCCTGTTTATTGACTTACAACTGAATAGATCATTAATGAAGTTTATTTGGCTTGTGAAGAATTGCTAATGTTTACGCTCTTCTTAAGTATATTTCTGGTAATTGCATTTGCAGATAGAGCATTACCTTCAAATAGTTAAAAGCGAAGTTATAACAGGAAGAAATCATAAATTAATTGAGGAATATGAGTACACAGCCCACAGCAGCTTGGTGCAAAGTCTTCAAATACCAGTTGCAAAATTCCATTTCGAGCTCTCTCCCATGCAGGTTTAATAACAAACAGTATGGTATTTGTGTACTAGTTTTACTCTCTTTGCTTCTCATCTCCTTTTCTTTGTCTGTCTTCTGTACCCAGGTGTTAATAACAGAAAATCAGAAATCCTTTTCACATTTTATCACAAACGTGTGCGCTATAATTGGAGGTGTTTTCACGGTTAGTATCTTCTATCTTTGGTTCTTTACTTCTCTCCAGATTGCGTACTAATTTATTTTTGCCTTTGGGTTCCAGGTAGCAGGAATAGTGGATTCAATTCTGCACAACACTATTAGAATGATGAGAAAGGTTGAACTAGGCAAAAATTTTTGATGGATAGGTGAAATTTCGTTAGTGTACAATGAATTGTTTATTTGCAACACCTAATTTAGTGAGGATTGTTTTGTTAACGATGACATATTCCTTTGAGAACAAAAATAGAAAAATGCAATGAGAGAAGTGCCCCATTTTCCAGTTAGAGTTGCCAATACAAAATCTAGTTTTATGAAGATTTTATGCATTATACATTTGGCTTCTATTTTATTTTATTTTTTGAGAAAGAATTATACCGAAAATGTGATCATTTGTGAGATGTTCTGGGTTTTCGAACAGGTTTTTTCTGTTTGGTTGATTTAATCTTCACTTAATTTTTCCTGAATGCCCAAAGAAGGTAGGTAGGGATAAATATTAGGGGTGTTAAAATCCAATCCAATCCAATTGATTGGTTTTCGATGACTTTGACGAATTGGATTGAATTTTTTTTACGCTTAATTTTGTGGAAATGAAAAAAAAAATTATTCATTAAAAAATCAATTATCCATCCTAGCCAATTCTAAACTTCAGATTGGGCACTGTGTTGCTTCCTCGATTGTGAGCCTGCTTAGTTTATAAACATAACTAAAATTTGCAGATGCATCTGCTTCCAAAACTAAAAGAAAGATGGAAACAGAAACATATAAATATTGAATACACAGTGACAGTATGAAAATCAATTTATTTCTTTGTGTAATTACATTATTGGCCCTTATGGTGGAGTCTCACAAGCACACAAATGAGTTGCTCCCTCCTTATTTTCCAATTGCAACAAACGAATATCAAACACCAGTCCAAAGATATATACTGAGCTTAAAGAAAAAAAAAAACAATAAAACAGAAAAAAAAAAAAAAAAAAGGAAACTCTCAAAGGAGAAACGAACTTTATACTCAAACAATCCAATATCCAGTTAGAGTAGTAAAAGTGATGAGGATGCAGCAAAAGCTCCAATGGACCCCAACAAACTCATGAAAACTGGAGAAGCCCCGCTGGGCGGTGGAGGGCTTTCGGGAGCTAGAGTAGGGTTCTCGACCACCCCTGTATCTGGTGAAGGTGGAGACGCTTCACCGGCAGGAGCTGGAGATGGGGTTATATCAGTTGAGTTTGAAGGCGAAGGGGCAGTTGCATTTCTATTGGTTCTATCTGCCAACACAATCACTACCACCTTCTCATTTTTGAGACAGTTGTCTTTGTTGCCACTGATGAAATAAAATGGCCCAGATTGGTCGAACTTGATGGCAGTGTGGCCATCAGTATATTTCGCAGTAGGGGCATCGGTGTTGCAATTTGTATAGTCGTCCTGGTTTACTCTAAGCACTGAGTCTTGGCCAGGAGAGTAGTTGAAAACTGCAGTTGAAGTAGTATCAAGTAAATCAGTTAGGTTTTTTTCTTGGTTTACAAGGAAAACTAAAGGATGGAAGAGGGGGAGTCGAGGTTTGGCCTTCGATGAGAAGAAAAATGCTCACCACCACTGGGGCTATAAGCCCCCATGCTTTGGCAAGTATCTTAAAATGATCTCTTACTAGATATTTAACATGGTTGACAGACTGACATGATTTCATCGAATTAATCAGGCTGCTTAGCAATATGATATACTAAACTGTCAAACAAGATGAAAATTACTCTTAATTACACTCTAATTATAATTTATATATTTGGTCATGTTATCGCAACAGTCGTGTTATATATGTACACTAAAATAATGAATTTCAAGTTCTAAATAATGCATGTTGCAACTCAGCTCAGAAACTAGTTCTGGACATATAGTATAATAATAATAAATTTGTATAATAATAATTCTTTCCTCAAAGTAATGATCCGTTGAGGGTTGAAAAACAAATATTATATACTCAGCCTTGCTGAAGATAAAGCTTCAAAACTTACCTATGGAGTCTCCAATTTGAAATCTGTTATTTTCAGCCCATTGATCCAAGTGAGGCGCAGAGGCATTCGGAGCACTCCAACTTATTGCAAACTCAGCTGCACCACTCTTCTGTATCAACAGTGTGACGCATAGAAGCACCAGCACAGAAAATACAACATTGCTCTTGTGATTGAATCTTAGAATGGGGCTAGCCATAATCGGAGATTGGTGTTGATGAACAAAAAAAAATGCTCTTGTATTTTCCACTAAAAACTTTGAAAACCACAGTTTAAGTGGGATGATAGGAGAAGGAAAAGGGATGACATGAAAGGTGTCCTGACAGGGGGTTTTTGTAGGGCAAATTGCATGGAACTTTACATGCTGCGTTAGAGAAGCTTTTGCAACTTTTTCTTATTCTTTTTTTAGCTTTTAGGTTTCTTACCTTCCAGTGCAAAGCATATGTGCACTTTTAAATATTAGTACAACATCTAGCTATAGGCGCTTTAATTTTGGAACTTTTATATAACTTGTTCTGTGGGTTTATACTTTGCTTGACCATTGTCAAGAATATTCATGGCTTGTGTTCTGGGTTAGTTGAACTAATTGCTTAATGACATTTAATCCTAGGAACATGATCTGTCATTCACACAAAGCCTTGTCACCACTCTCTCTCTCTCTCTCTCTCTCTCTCTCTCTCTCTCTCTCTCTATATATATATATATATATATATATATATGTCTATAGCAGATAGCAGTAGGCTGAATGAAGCTTGACGCTGTTTTCCTTTTCACCCTGTGATCTGGAACTCAGTAAAGTCTATAGCAGAATACATTTTTCTATTGAGGGAAAGATTACCTTATGTTCTTACTTTAATAAGATCATTGAACTTTTCACAAAAAAATACTTATAAAGTCTTTTTCCTCTCTTTATCATCTATCATACATAACTGTAACAAATTTATAAAGTTATAATACTATTACGTACGTAAGTGCATACGTACATACATACGTGCGTACATGTATTGTAAATTTGCAATAACGATACATATATGCCCACAGATGAGAATTCATATATTAAATTATCAGGCATACACATGCGCAGTCCCTATCTTCATATATCGGAATCATGGGCTTATCCAGAGGTGGAAATAGTAATTATTAACTGCAAGTTGATCAAGTTCAGGTGAACCAAGCTGCTTCACATGAAAAAACAAAAAAAGAAGAATGAGAGAGAGAGAGAGAGAGACAGAGAGAACAAAATCAGAGATGTATAAGAAATATTGAATTTCTCATTAAACTATTTCAGATCACAAACTAATATTACATACTAAATAGTCAGACTAACATTTAACCTGATCGAAGACTAAATTATAGCAATCGTTCATGAATTATAACATGATTTGCATTTCCATCCTTCAACTCAATAATAGTCGCTATCGTTCTTAAATTAGGTTTTGTGTTACACTATTGGTCATTTTTGTCAATTTTCTCTTCTTCTTTTTTTTGGGTAAAATGTTGGGGCAAATGAGGAATTACACATAATAAAATTTTAAAAACTAAAATGGGAAGAAAAAAGAGAGAAGTAGGGAATTTGTCGCTCAATAGTGGGGCTGGAGAGAGTGTGGCGGGCTGCTGGATGTGCCTGGGGATGGGATCGGTTCGGGTGTGACTTGGAGGTGGATGGGTATAGCGAGGGGGTTTGGCAGGTGAAATTCTTCACGCATGTGCCAAGGGGCTAGTATATATAAATACAAAACACGACCCGGCCAGAGCCTAGGGCAAGTGTCTAAACCGGTATAGCCGTGCGGCTCTATTAATTCTTAAAAAAATTATTAAAAATCTAGTACCACCGTGCGGCTATACTATTTATATATATATGACGCACATGTTAAAACAGTACAACCGGCCGGCTATACGATTTTAAAAAAAATTAGTATAAACAATTATAGCCTTGCGGCTGTACTATTTTTTAAAAACTGTTTAAAAATCTTGTATAGCCGGGCGGCTATACTATATATATGACCCGCCCAGCGCCCAAGTATAGTTGCGTGGCTATAGTATTTGTTCACCCGTTTTATGTTTACTCCTGAGATGGAAAGGCAAAGTTCCCCACTGCCCTGGAAACCATTGACTGGTCAACAATATTGAATGTCATTAAGCAATCTAGCTATAGGCGCTTTAATTTTGGAACTTTTATATAACTTGTGTATGAGCGTGTCATTGCTAGCAATGAAGATTCTAGCAAACTTCTTCTAGAATAGATAACTTGCGCCTCAAGTTACTGATTTCTAAAATAAACGATTGTGAATTTGGGTGAGGAATATCTCCCAAGTAAGTTCTTTTCTTGCCTCAGATTGGTGAGGACTTTCACAATTTATCTCAGTATAAAAACGGTTGTTCTGGCCAGAATAGTTGATAGAAATTGGACTGTTTTAGGCAAAACTGCCATTTACAAAACTATAAATATACATGTCAACATTGGAAAGACAAAAAGACAGCTGGAACTCCATCTCTGTCTGGATAGAAGACTCTGATCCGGGCTAGACTAGATATGTCTGGGCTGGACTAAACTGTCAACAACTTCAACTGCTAAGCTTCAGCTGCAAATCGATACCAAAGTTCAAGTTTGGCAGAACTTTAATCTACTTCAAGCTTTGGGAGGCTTTTGAGCGGGCAGAACTGCAGCTTCTTCAGTTTAAATGGGCAAAAGTGGATGTTCTTGAGGATTTAGTGAGCTAGAGACTGCATTGTGAGATTTGTTGAGGTTTTCATGTTTGGGAAAACTCAAACTCTGCTTGTTTTGGCTTTGCTGAACCAAATTTGTAACGAGAGAGATCTTGTTTTGAATAGTTAAGTCTGAACTTCGGAAAATTTGATCTAAAGGTGGTTTTTCTTGGAGTTCAAGTGAGCTTTTGGTTGATTTTTGAGTTGTTTGTTTGATTGATGAAAAATGATTGTCCTTTTTGCCCTGTTCACCCCCTCTTATATTTATAAGAAAATGGTTTGGAGTAGGGTTTCTTTCTTTTAATAATGGGCGGCAAAAATTCTTTCAAAAAGATCTTTCAGTTTTAAAATATAAAGAAGAGAGGGCTCTTAATAAGATCACTTCCCCGTTTTCTTGAAAGATAACCTAACCTTTCTTTAAATTCTAACTGCCCCTTTTTGAGAGCTCGAACCGTGATGGTTAGTTTGATTTTCCAGATGAACAACTCTCTGTCCTCCTGCTTATCTCCTTTTTGAAAATATGGCCTACGTATCTCTTGAAAGGATGGTGCCTCCTTGGAGTGAAATCAATAATTTTTGAATATATAAGAAGGATTTTGATCTTCTGGTAGCAAAAATTCAGAGAAGTCCTTTTGCCAATGACCTGCTTTAATTAATTCCCAATCAACTCAGTTGAGTTTGTTGACTTTTCCATTTTGGTAGTCACGTGGGTTCTGAAAATGGGTCTCTTCCTTTTTTCTTTTCATCATGTTGGGCCCATTCTGATTTGTCTGGAGCCCAAAGGTGACTGCTTTTCTTTTGGGGCCCAAGTTTGCTTGCCACATTTTGATGAGTCTTGGGCTGGGCCTCTCTGGACTTTGGGCTTTGCCTTCCGTTTTGCAAAAGCCCAAACTGCTTGAGTCATGTAGCTTTTATTCTGGGCCTTCTCCGTGTTGGGCTGGGCGCGTTCAATTTATGCCCAAACAGTATTTTTAAACAATTAGTAAAAAAAAAATGTGTATAGCCGCTCGGCTATACTATTTATGTAAAAGAAATTTAGTATAGCCGATCGGCTATATGATATATATATATATACATATTTATTTATTTATTTATAGTAATAAAATATGAAACAAGAAAAAATACAAATAAAATATGTACATTACAACTTAAAAGTTCAGCCACTATAATATATATTTTAATATAAATTATTTTTATCAATAATATGTGAGAATTATGTGTATAATATGTGAATTTTGTGTGTCTTATTGAAATTTTTGTAAAAATAACTTATATAATACGAGTATGTACGTTTGCCGAGTCTTTAAGACGTTTGCAGAACATGGATGTATTATTGAAAAATATGTACGTACGTATATAATACGTAATTTATTTTTTCGATGTTCATTGAACTTCAAGTACTTACTAATAAAAGTAATTCAAAAAGGCTAAGATATTACTTAATTACATATAAATTAAAGAAAAAAAAAAAAAAAAAAAAAAAAAAAAAAAAAAAAAATAATTATTTTATTTTATTATTTTTTCAATTAAAAAAAAAAATAAATTTTTTTTATAAAAAAAACCTCTCTTCGACGAAAATGCGTCGGCGCAAGTCTATGCCTGCGAAATTTGCTAGATTAGCAGACTATAGCGGCCCGGCTATACTATTTCTGAAACAAAATTAAAATAATCTTGTATTGCCGAGCGGCTATACTATTTATATATATATATATATATATATATATAAATATAAATATAAAAAGAACCCGGCCATCCACTAGGTGCCACGTGTCAAAATGTGTATAGCCGCCCGGCTATACTGTTTCTCTTTTTAAAAAAATATAGTATAGCCGATCGGCCATACTATTTATATTTATATGGGACCCGCTTAGTGCCCAAGAGTTACGTGTTAAAAAGGTAAAGCCGTGCGGCGATACTATTTTTAAAAAAATTAGTAAAATGAATATAGCCGTGCGGCGATACTCTTTCTTAAAAAAAATCTATATATCATTGGTGCATTTATACGCATTTAATAAAATATTAACCATTTGATTAATCTAATGAGTTTTAATGATTCCACGTCAGAATAATTGTATTATAGTAAACCTCACAACTGCCACACTGTATTATATGTATTTGATAACATTGAAATAAAAAAATAAAAATTCAAATCAAGAAGCAACCACCTCTCTCCCCAACCCAGCCCCCCCACACTGCCAGCCAATTGCCGACCCTCACTCTCTTTTCCTCTCACACACTCACATAGGTCGACTTGGTTTAATTTTAGTAATTGTGCGAATTATTTTTCATTTATTTGCAGATTTGTTAATATAATTAACCATGGAGAGAGAGAGAGAGAGAGAGAAGTGGGAGGGGGTTAGTGTGGCAGCCATGGATGGCTGGGGAGATGCCCCGGGGGGATAAGGGCCTGGGTCGAAGAGTTGATGCTTGCTGAGACATTTTATTTTTGTCATTGTTATGATATTTTTAATATTTTATTTCAAAGGTTTTTTGAAAAAAAAAGTATTAGATACACATACAAGGTGTAAAGAGATTTTGATGTGGACTGATTAAAATGCATTAGACTAATCTAATTATTAACATTCATTTAAATGCGTGTAAACGCACCGATGCTAAATGCAGAGGCTCAGGATCCTAATATTAATACATATGTGAATGAATTTTGTTACTTCTAAAGAAATGGTATGGCCAATGAGAAAATACGAATGTGAATGAATTTTCAGTGTAGGAAGAAGCTTGAGGCCATTTTCAGGTCGGATCTAGAGAAGAGAAAAAACCGAAAAGAAGTGGTGACACTGACAAATGATCTCATGGATGGCCTTATGCAAATCAAAGATGATGATGGATGAAGGAGATAAACTAAGCGACCAAGAGGTGATAGATAACATTGTCAGCCTTGTTGTTGGTGGATATGCATCTACTTCCCTTGCATCAATGTGGGCGACATATTATCTTGCTAAATTCCCTAACCGTTCTAGATAATAAAATAATAAAATAAAGATAATTAAAAAAAATTAGATGCATGGTAATTAAGTGCTGGTAAACTCATGCATGATGCAGGTTATAAAATCCCCAAGGGCTGGCATGTGATTCTTTGGGTTCGATATCTGCACACAAATCCAGAGAACTTTCATGATCCCATGTGCTTTAACCCACATAGATGGAATGGAATGTAAGTAAGCCTACGTATATACAAGTAATTAGTAGGTAGTTAATTCTACTAATTAAGAAATAATTATTGTTGATTATTAATTAATACGTTATATATATACGTACTTTCACTCTCCTAATTAATTAGGAACCAGCTAAACCTGGAACGTGCCAAGTTTTTGGTGGTGGGCTAAGAATATGTGCTGGGAACATGCTTGTTAGGATTCAACTTGCAATCTTGTTACATCATTTGTCTACAGGATACAAGTGAGCAAACCCAACTCATCATTTGTATAGGCACTGCTGAGTTTTGTTTTAAATGAATTCAGGTGGGAATTGCTCAATCCAGATGCAGAACTGATTTATCTTTCACATCCGAGACCAGTTGATGGGGTTGATATCACATTTAACAAAATTTAGACATCGGTTTTTTCACGCGTACAATGTCACCTTTCCATGAAGATGCCAGAGAAGAAAATGTACATTAATTGATAAAGTTCTTGAAAATTTTATAGTCCCGATCGAGAACCGACTAATATTGTGGCAAGTGATACTTTAGAGTATGTTGATTTTATATGGGGGTTGATATTTTCCATTTGAATGTGTTTCTAGGAACTTGGTTGATGTTGTCAAACAAATGAAAATTGATATGGAGAACTCGTGCAGAAGCGTCAAATATGAGATCGATAACAAGCAAAGGTAAAATATGACAAATACATAACAATACACAAAGAATATACTAATCTACTTATGTACTTACATACAGTTTGAAGACGAAGATAAAATTCCACTAATAATAAAGGAGATTACAAAATATTATCTATAACACACCCAAATCACTCTTACATAAGTCAAGAACAAAGTTCAAATTCTTGCTCACAAAGTCGAAGACCAAAAGAGAGAACAACACCAAATTTGAAGCAGCTAAAACAAAAGAGAAAATGATCTTTTTCTCTCACAAATGGTGCAGCAAACAAACTCACAACCAAAGACAAGCAACAAACAGTGTGACACTCATCCAAAACAAAAGGAGAAGATTCCGTTTACTTACAAACGATGTGAGTCACACTATCTTACCTTAGATGTTTTTGGCTCCCTCAAATAGTTCCAAATAGTGACCTCCATCCAAATAGAAGAGAGAGATTTATCTCTTACCAAATGTGGAGGCACACTTCGGCCCGCGGGCTGCAGGACAAATGATGATGATCCCTAGTGGCACTACAAGCAGGACACCATGGGCTTTAAGTCTCTTTGCACTACAGTAGATGGTGGATCCTATCCATATCACACAGGAAATTCCTAATTTACAACGTCTACCCTACATCAGGATGGCACAACTCCATTTTCTCTCTCTTTTATCTCCTGTATATACCTCATCAAGACTATTTAGGTAGTCAACGAGGTCACATATATTAGATTTTAGAGAGACGGACTGTTGATCCACTACTAATAGTATCAATTTTGTTCATTTAGCCATTTGCAAAATCTGGTAGGTATGAGTTGATTTTACGTTCTTTAAGAACCTACAATTGGTGACCACTTATCTGCCAGGGACCTAGCTAGCCATACAAGCGGTTGGATGAGGGAGAGATCCAGAGAGAGAAAGTAGAAAAAGAGACGGAGATAGAGAGTAAAATATAAAAAAGGGATAAAGAAAGACAAATAAATTATACGCTAAAAATGGCGTACAACAATAAGGGTCATGTTAAATTAATACATGCATACACCATTACCAGAACATATGTTGAACTAAATTTAATTTATGTGTACCAAGACTCCCTCATCAAGACTATTCGTAGATGTTAAGTTTCGAAGAGACAAACCAATGATCTATATATTACCATCATCGATATTTTCTTCAACTTAATCACCTATAAAACCTAGCAGACATGAGATTTTATCACAAAAAATTTCAATACTAGTAATAGTGAACTTTACATTCTTCAACAACCTACAAATTACCATACCACGATAAGAGAGATCAAGAGAGAAAGTAGAGAAAGCGATACATAGTAAAAACATATAAAAGAGAATTTTTTGAGACACAAACAATAAGAGTCATGTTAAATTTTACTTTTACATAATTAACATTTATGTGTAAAGAAATTTGTTGACACAGCCAACCATTGGAGATGATGACAAGGTGGGATGGAAATAAGTGAGCATGTTGACCGACTCCAGAAGCATCCAAGCCATACTCAACCCACGGTCCACCCAATGCTTTGACTTGACTCAGTCCCCAATTTTGTTGTTCCCGCGAAAGTGATGGCCTAAGAAATCTCTCCACCACCAAGTCAATTTCTGCAAAACCAGACCAGCCAAGAAAAGCTACAACCCAATAACGTATTTCTACAAACTAGTAAATTTACCAAATACAGTTGAAAAGAAAAAGAAAAAAACAGACAATGAACCTTAAAAATCAGCAGAAAATAGAGACCCAATTCTTTTTCCTTTATTTTAGGATGAAAATGTACGGTAATTGTGGGTGTAATAAATAGATGAAGTAAAAAATTTAGACAGTGCAGTGAGTGAAAACAAATTAAGAAAGCAGGGGAAGGTTAAAAAGCAAAGCAAAGTTAATACATTTGTGTGGGGTTTTCAGGTGTGGTGCGATGGCTGCCGTCTCATCAAGACTTTGACAGAGTAACAGCATCATCATCATAAATAACCACACCCCCACACCAGCTAATTTTATAGAGACGGAGAAAAAAAAAAGGAAAAAAGAAACACAAAAACATAACCAAAAAAAAAGAGAGGCAGACCATTGTTTGTACTTTTTGCTGTGGGGGAGATTGGTTTTGAGCTTATTGTATCCGGAGCTAGCTTGTTCAGAAGGCCAGCCGCCTCATCTGGGTCCCTTTAGAATCTTGCTCTGAAGAGCCCGAGGAAGTTTATATTTTCTGGGTTTTGGTTGATCTTTTGAAAGGGGTTCCGGCTCTGAGTGCTGCGTTGAGGGCCTTTTTATTGTTTTTGGAAAGGAAGGAAAAGATTGTGTTTTCGGTTACATTTTCCTTCTGTCTCTGTGTTTTGTGAAAGTGTTTTTGGTGCATTGGAATGTGGAGGGACGCTGGAACTCCTGCTGATTCGTTCTATGAAATCCGTCCTGAGTGTACTGATGTACCCAAAACCCGCTTCAAAATCAAGGTTCTTTTTTATTTTTTTTCTCTTTTTCTGTTCTCTTTTGTATTGCTGGAATTCATATAAAGGTTGATTCTTTAGATACCCATTATCTTAATTTGGATCTGTTACCCATTCGAAAACCAAGATATTGCCTAATGCATCAGATTTGATAATGGGTGGTGCGATATTTTAGTTAAGAGCACGACTTGGTGTTAATATGGATCACAAAGTGATGTGCAATGGGAAAATTTTATAGTAACTAGTTTGTGCAGTTCTTTTGTTTGTAAGTATTCTCAGGTTTGGACATTTTATCTCTTTCTCTTTCCCCATATATCATGGTACGTTGGTAAAGCCAACTTTGCTAACTGGATCACCAAAGTACCACGAATTGGAACACTTGACCCGATCATGATTCCCAGAGGTTAGGGGAATCTGTTAACCCCAATTGGAATATTATTTGCTTGTTTTAACGCTTGTAAACAACAAGAAGCTTTTGAATACAGTTTAATAGTTTAAACATGCAGATTATATCAACATGGGTATTTCTATACATACTTATTCCCACCAAACAAACAAAAAAAAAAAAAAAAAAAAAAAAAAAAGAAGAAAAAAAAAAAAAAAAAAAAAAAATACAGGTAATTGTATGTGCATCTCTAATAGTTTTATGATGAATATTGTGCAATATTGTATATATGGGTATAATGTCTGGAAATTTTCCCAATTACTCCCATAAGGTATTCATTTTCTCAATGCCTTGATGTGTTTCCTCCAATTTCAACTCCTTGTTTTTATTGGCCTATGCAGGCAGGCAAAACTTTAAGTGTAAGGAAATGGCAGGCTGCATTTTCTCCAGAAGGGCATCTGGATTTAGGCAAAACTTTAAGTCGAATCTATCGGGGGGTGAGTGGATCTTTATGATTCCATGGTTGCAACTTAGTATGCTTAGATATATTCAGTATATTGGCACAATTCAGTTTTGCATTTTTGTGTAGCTATTGATAAGCTAGTTTAATCAGATATTATAAGGTCTTGAGAATTCTGATGAATACATGCCCATTCAAGTTAGGTATGTATTATGTACACTGATTGAGAGCTGAACTCACTTTTTTCTTTTTTCTTTTGTGCATGGTAAAGAAACGAAAGCCTACTATTGCTCCTACTGGCACGTTTAACCTGTAGACTGTGTATGTGATTGGGGTTATGTTGAAACCAGGCTAAATTATTTCATTAGCCATTACTGTTGTAACAAGTCAGATTAAATTTTGCTTAATTTTCTTTCAAACATTTGTGCACGTAATAACTAGATGCTTCCTTTCTGACTTATCTTCTTAAGTCTGGCAGTTGTTTCTTTTGATTTGAAATAATTTTCTTCATGAATATAACAATTTAATCATTTGCTTAATGCCTTAATGTATTAATTTTTCCAATCAGGGGATCCATCCATTAATTAGAGGAGAAGTTTGGGAATTTCTACTTGGTTGTTTTGATCCTAAAAGCACATTTGATGAAAGAGAGCAGATGCGGCAACGTCGAAGGTATTTCTTGTTTCCTGCCTTGGGCTACTGGAAATTTATTTATTTATTTACCTTCTTTTAGTCTAATAAGGTTTCCTAGTAGGATGCACACTTGTAATTAAAAGATGATCTTTTGGGAAATGAATGATCAATATCATGAGTTGAGCTTTAAGGCTATGATACTGAAGTGAATAAAATTAGCTGACAACAAAACAATATAATGTGGAAACATGCTAGCAAAAGACTTAATGCTTTCCTCTTCATAAGATAGGGATCCACTTCCTTATTTTGTGTGGGATGTGTATATTCCAAATCTGCAGGATATATATAATTTCCTACATCTTATGCTTCACCTGTCCCATTATTGTGTAATGATTGCTTAAGCATCAAGCTTTTCCATTTTCAGAGTGGAATATGCTAGGTGGAAGGAAGATTGCCGTCAAATGTTTCCTGTTGTTGGAAGTGGTAGGTTTATCACTGCCCCTGTAATCAGTGAAGACGGTCAGCCCATTCAGGATCCCTTAGTGCTTTCACAAATGAATCCAGACAAGGGAGCTGATGGTAACCGTGCTAATGGTATAGAACCGGTGACAGACAAGAAAGTAATCCAGTGGATGCTTACTCTACATCAAATAGGTTTGTGATAAATTCATATGAATTTTTAAGGATTTTTTTTTTAATAAACAAATTTCAGTTCCACAATTCAGACTTTTCTTTTTGGTCTATTCTCTGTTTCCACCATGTCTTCTTTTACTTTGATTAAATTAGTCTGTCAAGTACTTATGACACTGTTACAACTCTTTGCCTTATCTGCATGTGACAAGTACTGAACATGATTTATTGTATTTTTTCTTCAAGTTTTATTTGGTGATTTGGCGAATAACTTTTCTGTTTGAACCTTTTTATGTGCCAGGTCTTGATGTGGTTCGCACTGACAGGACACTGGTGTTTTATGAGAAGCAAGAACACTTATCAAAACTTTGGGATATTCTAGCTGTTTATGCCTGGATAGATACAGATGTGGGCTATTGTCAAGGTGAGTAACATATTGCATGATCATTTTTCAACTGAAGCTTTCATTATAACAATACAAGGAAGAAAAAAAAAGTGAATGATGTTGGTTACAGTAATTTTTGGTACGCCTCCCTACAATTTGAGAGGTAACACAACAATTTTATATTGATTTTGCAACAAAATGCTGGTTCTAATCTCTGAAATTTATGGCCATGGTGAGCAGGAATGAGTGATCTTTGCTCCCCCATGATTATCCTTCTTGAAGATGAAGCAGATGCATTTTGGTGCTTTGAACGCTTGATGCGCAGACTGGTAAAATTATGAACTAAATCTTCAACTTCCTATATTTATTCTGGTGTTGCATGAAATCAGTGCCATAGCATCCGGTGATTATTTAACATGCTTTCAGTCAATTCTAACATATGACCTGCTGTTTACTCAGTAAGGTGTTTGTGTGTACACTCACCTTATCTTTTCTTGCTCCTACTGTGTCTGTCTAAACACTAGGAGATATTTTTCAATTCATACATTAATGAGATTCTTGAGAATTTTTAGTTGATATACTGCTGTCCTTTAAAAAGTAGCTGCAAGATTTTCTTTTCCTTTGAAGTTACATGTCGTTTCTTTAAAGCTACCAAATTATTTGTGATGGTTTTGATTTTTCATTTGGATTCTAGTTTCTTATATCTTGTTTTCTTATTTGAAATTTAAAGCGAGGAAATTTCAGATGTACCGATAGTTCTGTTGGGGTGGAGGCACAACTAAATAATCTAGCTTCAATTACTCAAGTCATTGATCCAAAACTTCATCAGCACTTAGGTATTGACTTACAATTGTATTTTTGTGTTTGCTTGCTCGTGAGTTGGAGAGCTGATTTGGCTTGCGTGTGTGTCATATCTCTCTTGTACATCCCTCAATGTAATGCTAAAAGATAAAAAGATAGTAACACAAAATGTTCATTTTGGAGTGCAGAGACACTAGGTGGAGGCGACTATTTATTTGCTTTCCGGATGCTTATGGTTTTGTTCCGTCGAGAATTCTCCTTTTGTGATTCTTTATACCTTTGGGAGGTAAGAATAAGTTTCTATTATAACTTTTTGATAATTTCTATTGTCCCCTTTGGATATTTTCAGTTGCTATAACAAATTATTGCAAGTGTAAATACTTTTAGGAAATCCCTGAAAGTATTTCTGTGAAACCACGTATATAACTTTCATATTTCTTTAGTACTCAAAGATTCCTTCACAGCTGCAATTTGTTTTCAATACTTCTGCAGATCTTTTGTATTAGACCAAATCTTTTCCGAGTAAAAGTGGAAAAATTTGTACTTAATTTGACAAGTTCTTTCAGAGAATGGATTTTAGGAACTATCACATGCATTCATATTAAAGACCAAGCCTCTACCCAAATCAAGTTTCCTTAACTCAGGATATAAGTCGTCCATGTTGGACGAGAGAGCAAAGACTTCGTATTTATGACATCATTAAAGGGGGAAAAACAAAAAGAGATCATTTTATCACACAAACATATATGTTCCTTTTTGTTTTCAGCCAAATATATCGTTTTCCTTTGGTGCATGGTATGTTTATGTTTATGATAACAATTGTGCATCTCTTTTCCTGTTTGACAGATGATGTGGGCTCTTGAATACGACCCTGAGTTATTCAGTGTGTACGAAGAGTCTGATACTGATAGTGAAAAGGCCGAAGGATCTAAGGGAAAAGCAAAGTCAATACGTCAGTGTGGGAAGTATGAGAGGGAAAATATGAAAAGTGGAGCAAACAATTCAGAAGCACCGCTCCCAATATCTGTTTTCCTAGTTGCCAGTGTCTTGAAAGATAAGAGCTCAAAGCTACTTACAGAAGCTCGGGGTCTGGATGATGTTGTTAAGGTTTGCATTATGAGTTTAATTTGCAATTCTTTTGAAGCATTCAATTTTATGCTTGCATTGAGGATGACATTACATCAATTGAGCGGAAAACACGTTCATATGGGGACAGCCCGGTGATACTTTCACCCAATTCTCAAGGACCCATTCTTGTTTTTTTTGGTGCTTCCATATGCCCCTGTAGTTTAGAAGCGTGCAATCATACACACTTGTAGTTGAAATTAGGTTGCAATTAAGCCAAAATCCTACAAATGATAGCTTTTGTACCTTATTTTGATCATTGTTCTTTAAAAAGTCAACTGCATTGTCAAATCCCTTTTTAAAAAGAAAAAAAAAACATGAAAGGCTGTCATTTTTTAGGATTTTGGCTTGATTGCAACCTAATGTCTACAGGCGTATGATTAAACGTTTTAAATGATGAAATTGGAAGCCCCAGCAAACTACAGAGACTGAAAGTGTCTTTTGGCCATTTCTAAAGCCCTAGGCTAAAAGACCAAATAATTATCTAGAGTCGGTTGGCATTGGTGAAGCATCTTTGACCCTTTTAATAAATAAATACTTCTTATCAACTTACCAGTTGGTTGTGTTGGAACTTAACTTTCTTACGAATTTAACCCATCTCTCTCTCTCTCTCTCTCTCTCTCTCTCTCTCTCTCACAGATATTGAATGACATGACTGGAAATTTAGATGCCAAAAAAGCTTGCACTGGAGCAATGAAACTTCACAAAAAATATCTAAAAAAGGTACTGCAATTTCTTTTTTCTTTATAGCAGTGTATATAATGATGTTGCTATCAAATTGTCATGTGTGTATTTGTGCATTTGCTGTGTCTGTGCATGGGCTCACTTCAGCTATTCTTATAGTAATCACTTAAAACTCATCATTCATGGATTTGTTACTGCAGGCCAAGAAGCCATAGCATCAGTTTTGCACACAATTTTTTGGCCACCCGCGAAGTAATACGATGATGTTCCGTACATTCTTATACCTTATGTAGCAAAGAGATTATAATTCACATAATCTTGGCAGAGTTGACAGAGCTGCACAGTTGGTCCAATCTGCAAAATATTCCCACGAGCAATTGTTGTTTTTGAAATTAGTCCCAATTATTTGTATATTGAAAGCATTCTTTATAGGTCTGTATTTTGTATAACCATAAAAGAGGCCTATATTTTGTATAATTTTACGTCGTATTTAATGATATTATGAGGGAAAAAAAGTTTATGCTTGCAGTGCTCCAACCCTAATCAATCAAATTAATTTAAAGTTTTGTTTTTGAAAACCACTTGCAGTATTACCTTCTCCCTCTGAGTAAAATATTCAATTAATGCGGTGTACTGTAAAATTGACTGGCCATGGCCGAATTTTTTTTTAAAATTTTCTAAAAACCATATTACAAATCATCTTCAACCAAAACATCACATGATATTCCCCGAGCAAAGACAAACCTAGAAAGCTGCAGGTTTGGGCCCCGAGTTGGGATTTGGGCTCATGACCAGACATTTCAAAGAGAATTGTATCATGAGTAATACACATTGCGAATTGTATCACGAGTAAAACACATCATTTTCCCATGAAATATGAGTTAGGGTTATGTTTTTCTATTTTCAGACTTCGAATAAAACTTGACGTTTCTCTCATTCTTTCTAGTGGATTCCAGAGTTTTTTATTCTTGGCTATAATTTTAGCCTATTGTGCAGCGTAAATATGTCAATCATGCTCTCCACAACTATTTGCAGGAGCACGATATTGTCCACCAAACACTGAAAAGTATCTAACAAGTGAATTTGAGATGAAAGATCAGAATTCTCAAGACCTTATTGAACATTGCTTTGTACTAGGGCTGGGCACAGTATGATATGACACGAGATGGAGGTCATCTCGGTGTCAATCCCGAATAGGGGAATCGAGATGGGATGAGAGTTTTTGAAAACACGTTCAAACCATACCGGACTCAAACGGGATCGGTATGATTCGGTATCAATGTTGATATCGTAAAAAAAATCTGCAAAATTCATGGATTTGGGTTCTAATCACGCAAGTGCAATGACTGGAAGAAAATTTAATTCCTCATGCAATTGAATTGTTCCAGTTAAAATGCACCATCACCATTGAGATTTAATTGCTCATGCAATTGAATTGTTCCTATTAACCCAAACCCAATCATAAAAAGCAGAATCCTTACTCTCTCTCTTTTTTTTTCTTTTCAATGAAGGTATGATAATGCACAACAGACCTGCAACAATTCTGATACCCAACCCAAATAACGAAAGCGCTTAAAAAGGAAAAATAATGAGGAAGATCCTTCAATTAAAAACAAAAATGGCAATTAAATTTGTTTTAAAACACAACAGAGTAACAGAAACTCAGAGACTTTGGGTTGGGGCTTTCCTTTTCCACTAGTTTGGAGAATAACAGAGAGAGAAAGAGGAGGAAGTGGAGAAGAAGATGAGATCGATTGATGGTGGAGAATTTGGGAATTACGGCTTTGAGAATGAAGAAGAGAAGAATTAGACAGAGGAAGGAATGGACGCAGAGAAACAAAGAGAAAGAGGAGTCGAAGAAATCTGTGGAGGAGAGTAGGGGTGGAACTGAAATTAAATTAGGATTAATTAAACTCATGTACTGTTCGGTATGGTATGACACCAACCGAGATCACAAATGTGAAACCAATGTCGTGCCAAACAGTAATGGGATGACATGGTATCATCCCTTTTACACGTCAACACCAAACGGGACGGCACGAGATTGGCACGGTTTGGCATAGTTTCGGGATGGTTTCGGTATTCCGGTTTTGATGCCCACCCCTACTTTGTACACCTATAAATTCCTCCTTATCAAGAATAAACATACAATAAATTTTCCTAAAATCTCATGCTTTCTGACAAATATTAGGTACATGATAGGCATGGCCAACTGAGTACATCATACCCAACTTCATATCCCCCTTAGGAGAGGCTATTATTAAGATTTTCATTATTAATCTATTTCATAATGGAACAAAATTGGGATTATGATTAAGACGGTGACTTAATAATGGGAAATTCAAGAAGGAATAAATAATCCCTCTCATCCTTCTGACTACTAGCTTTGATATATATCTTTGATTCCTTAAAGTGACTCAAATTAAGGATATGGTAATGGTGGCCGCGTGATAATTACTTATCCTCTAAGGAAGTTTAACTCACCCTCTAAGGAAGGTTAACTTACTATAATCTACGAACTTTGGCCTTGCTCGATGTCATTAAAAATGAAATAAAATAAAATAAAAAATATGGAGCTTGGAAGGGGATGGGGGGAACTCACACACACGGGTACCATGAGGGCAACACTCATGGATATTCGCCAATCGGTTTGATCAGTATAATTGCATGGCTTTGAGCCTATAGCTTTGAGCCATAAGTATGAAATCGGTTTTGCATATATAATATGTTATCTTCATTTTTCTAGTTTCTGTTCCAACATGTTTGGAACTTATATACTACAAACAAACATATTAGACATCCTACGAAAACACAAAATTTTTATTATAAAAAAAAGCTAGCTAGGAAGCAAAAAGGCCACGCGGATCGATCCTCATTTGTATGTAATAACTACTTTGCAGTTAAAATCTTATACAAATTATCATATCGTCTGTTTCTCATTTTGTTTTTGACATGTTACAATCTCCTCATCTTCGAGTTCGAGTATTGACAGGTCTCGAAATCAAGGTAGCATCACTCATACATATTTCTTTATCAGCCTCAGTGCATAGACATCCATCTTCTTGCAGCTGATGACAAAACACATAAAACGAATTCTCAGAAATATTATAACTTATCAATTGTCTAGCTAGCTACTCACTACTAGGTACTACAAACTCGAAAACTTATCGCCTAGAAAAAGAAACTTTAAGATGAAAAATGCTCGAAAATTGTTTGCCCGTAACGAATTTCAGCTGAACTGATGCGACAGCATTTCATTTATTTATATATGAATTCACTTCGAACCTCGTTTATTCATATCCAATAAACAACTGCGACGTAGTAGAGTAGTACTCACTCTCCCATATATAGAAAGGAATTCATTACTTAATTTACCTGCAGATAGAATTTAGCGTTGCTGATCATCATCAGTGGAAGCGATCTGTCATGAACAAGAAAGTCAGGATGGCTATACATAAGACCATAAGGGCATTAGAGTTGAGATGCTGTGCGTTGTTCCTGGGGAACCGTTTTGGAATTGCACACTCTTCTCCATTGAACAACACTCTTGTTGGGAACCCTTCACCCGCCTTGATATCAATATTGTGAAAGTGCTTCTTCTTGAACGAGACCACCGACTGCTGCTTCCCAGGAACCATCGGATTCTTATTCGGGTCGCTCCCGTTCTTAATCCCGATCAAGTAATCCAAGCCCTTGAGCCCTGTGAACATAATGGTGCTGTTAACTTCCTTCTCCATCCTGGTTCCGTTGAACGAGTAGACGTTTTCATAGTCTTCGTAGGCCTTGTTCATCTTCACGGCAGTGTACCAATCTTGGAAAGGGTCGTTTCCCCAGTTGAAGAGAGTTAGCCTTGCAGTCCATCCATTGCTGTAATCCGAGTCGATGTGCCAATTCAAGCTCACCCCACAATTGTCAGGGCACGGCAGCTTCTTGGGCACGTCATAGTGTTTGATTTTGGCCCAAGCTTTTGCCTTCTCTGTTCTGTTAGCGAAGGGCACAAGTAGAGCTTCAGCTGGAAGAAGCATGGCGGGCACTCTGGGGCTGCATTTGCCTGTGTCGGTGATTTTGCATCCGCAGGCGCACGTGCTGCATGGCACCACAGAGTCACTGTAATAGGCTGAGAACGAGACGCAGCATCTGGGGACCGCGGGCTTGGTAATGTTGCACACCACCTGCCAGCTAGCAACGGAGGCTGACGTGGCCTGGAGCCCGCTGGGGTCGGGGAATTGGGTAGGGTCGATTCTGATTGGGGGACCACATTTGTAAGAAGGGTTCAGGGCACCGTTGATTTTCCATTTCTGAGGTGGAGTGAGGGCGGTTCTGTTGTCATCAGGCGGGAGCTTGAAGACTTGCAGTTGGAAGATAGACTGGGACTGGCTCTTGTCCATGAGGCCGGGCAAGATGGTTCCGTTTCTGCAGCAGTTGGGCAGTTTTCCGACCTTGGGGTCGTCCTTTCGATCGGCAGGAAGGTCAGTGATGACGGGCCTCTTTTCGCAGTTCATGACCTGAGAGAAGTCCAAGTCCTTGTAAAATTTGCCGGCCATGCCGTAGAGACACTCGGTTGAGTCCTTCTTGTGAGTGTAGGCTCCTCTCATGTTGTTGATGAACTCTCCCTTCATCCACTCCCAGGTGATGTTCCAGTGGTCGAGGCGGCCGAGCGGGTGGTTGTTGTCGATGGTCACTTGGGCCAGGTAGTTGTTTGCGAAGGTTTGGAGCACGTCGTATGTGATGGAGAGATCACCTTTCTGCTTGGGCATGAATTTGGTTTTTTCGATTTTCTTTGCCTTGAATTTTGGGTCCTTTTTGCAGCACACGAACATTGTAGTCTTCCCTGCAAATCAAAACAGAATAATATGATTCAAATGCATGCCTTATAATTTCAAGTTATAGCATAGATAAGCCAGACAATTGATTTCAAGGTTCTTATATATAATCCAGGAGATTGTTTAAAAACTTCACTTTCAAACCAACAATAATCTGTCCGGCCATTTTTAATATTCATTTCGCAAATATTCTATCTAATTAACTATCTTGAAACACATAACATTATAAGATGCCAAATTTGTTAAGAACAGTTACTCATGCACGCCAATTTCTCCCTCCCATAATATCGTTTGTATCAAAAGATTCCAAAGCAATGTTGATATTCAATCTTGAATCGAATCCTCATAAAACATCTTGTTTCTTGTTAGTATACAAATAAACAAAAGTCAACCATTGATATAATTAATGGATCATTAATGATCTATTGGTTATAGATCATCATCATCTGCAAATAAATTTTCGAAAAATCATCTGTAATTAGTGCATATATATAAAACAAGATCAATATACAAAAATCTTGTCCAAAAAAAAACATGAAAAAAACAATGCAGAGAGAGCAATGGATAGGAGGAAAATAATTACCGCGGATACGAGCATTAGGGCACTTGAAGCCGTCGTTGACGAGGCTGATGGACTTGGGCATGGGAGTAGCCTTAGTGCCGAGCCCAAACTGCGTCCCCTTGAACTTGATCTTAGCCTGAATCTGGGTGTAATCTCCTGCGGTATCGATCATGGTCTTCAAATCCGTCATGGGGTTCCCCGCAAAGGTGGCCCCTTTGGTCCCAAGCTGCGCGGGCAGATCACCGCCGTCCACCAGCAGAGCCCCTTCCGCCTCCACCAAAATCTCCCGATGCTGGAACCCTATGTACATCTTCCACGCCTTGAGCTCCGTCGACCCGGCGTTCAAGATGGTGGCCTCCGACTTGAATGCCCAAGCCTGCGCAGATACGTTTTTCAAGCGGGGCAGCTCCTTCTCCCTTGACGTAAACTGGTACGACAAGAAGATGCCGTCACAGTCTTCTTGCTCGGGAGGAGGAGCTGCCACCGCACCATCACCGTCCCCGTCGCCTGCTTGTCCATAACAAATCTCAACCCTAAAACATGAAAGCACCAAAAACACCACCAGCATTGCATGAAAAGAGGACATTTGGATGGTCCATGGTATTTTCATGCCTAGTGTCACCATTATTCTTCTTTTTCCTTTGTGAATCAATTTTTTCTTTTTTCTTTTTTCTTGGTTTAATTTGTTTGTTTCGTTGTTTTTGGGGTTTGAGGGATTTGTTTGGTTTGTGTTGCTTGGGAGAGACAGAGAGAGAGAGATAGATGTAAAGAGAGCTAGCGGCGGCCGCGCGAGAACGCGGCGAGTGAGAGAAGCTAGAGGCCCTTGGGAGTCTGTGTAAAACCCCAGGGGAGAGAGAGATGGCTTGGTATAAAGAAGAGGAGCGACATTAAAAGACTGAGTCAATCTCTATTTTCTTCCTCTAGTTTTCGCGGCAGTTTCGGAGCCTTGCCTTTCCCCCCCAATGCAACCCAACCGTTATTTTTCTGTTACTTTTCTGGTTTCACATTGTACGGACCCTGTGCACGTTTCATGCCCTGTAAATAGCATGTGCACTCTGATACGGTGTCGTTTGAGATTTGTTTGTTGGTTCTGTATTTGTTTTTTGGGGACCAAAAACGAAACAAGTTTGTTGTTTGTAGGAACTCGGGAGGATGATGTATTTCGAGTAGTTTGGTCACCTCCAGTTTGCTGACGTGGAATAACAAACCAACATATATTGTTTCATTTTTAGTAATTCCTCGGTCTCTACTGCCCTAAAAGAAAAGACTGTAAAACTGCCATTGACGATTGAGCTTCCCCTTTCACCTGAGATCTGACTGAAAATCATGTAGAAACCTTTTTTATTATTATTATTATTAATGGAGGAGGGATGATTCGTAGTTGATTGAGACCCTCTGAAAAATGAAGGAAAATACAGTGACTCATATGCAATGAATGAGAAGTTGACCACATGATATATGGAACAAAAATAAAATTAAATAATAGGGTTGTTAGATCTAGGTCTGAAACGATTAGTTGAAACCCTTATTAAATAATTGACAATGGACAGAAAAAAATCGATAAACAGAATAAATTGATCGAACCAAACTGAATCAGATGTTTGTTCGGTTTTCAATAAAAAATTATGTTTTTTAGGACAGAACAGTTTCACACTAGTTCGGCTATGTATGTTTGGTTCAGACTGAACTGACCCGTTTGATTCTGTCTTTAATGATACATAAGGGATTTAGTTGGAAATGGTTTTGTTAGAAGTAGATCAAGAACTATACAAAATTCAAGTGTTGTTTGAATACGTACTTAAAAGTGTTTTCTGAAGAAGCACTGGAAACCTTTTTTTTTAAGAGGTGTGATGCTGACAGATGAAAGGAAGGAACGAAAACTTTCTGCTAGAGCTTTTATCTATGTTTAAATCGGAGGAAAGAACGATAATTTCTGTGGCCAAAAATCATGTGCACCAGAGTCAGACCATTTGTTCCTCTCAAGTAAGTTCAAACTTAAGAGACGGAGGAACACAAAACACTTAAACCTGCACCAAGAATTTCTCAGAATAACTTTCTTCTTATATTCGCGGTCGCGTAAAACACTACTTAAAACCAAATCCCTACCTCCTACACCTTTCTTTTAGTTACATATCCAGTTAATTCAGCTTGCCACAATTTTCATTACACTGTCGTAATTGTCCTCTACACGTACAAAGTACATTAACTAAATCAAGTGACAGTTATCTCTGCCGCACTACTTATTTCTTCAACATACTGTGCTTTTGGCTCCAAGTCTATGAACTGGTTGGACTTGCTAGCGAGATGTGAAATGCTAACCCTTCCCTGACGCTTAATATAGTCTGCCACAGCTTGCATCTCTTCTTGGGAGATGTATATGTATTTCCCTCTGTCATCCATGACACCAGAAAGTCGCCCTAACACAAAGAAATACAACATTTTCATTCTCAGCAAAGGGAATTTTACTTTCTGAAGCAAGGCATTATTCCACTAGGTTAAACCATTCAATGATGAAATGGCTCTGAACATACCCATACTCTCCAGAGAGGTAATCCGATTGATGCATTCCTGCATGAACCATTAGTTGCATTGTAAAATTAGTAAGGCAAATCTGGAAAAAAATTCAAGACAATGTAACCTGATCAACCAAAAAGAAGGGGTTACTTTCTCTCCTGACCAGAGTTGCATAAAGAAAGCATGTTCGATATGAAAAGATCAGAACTCAGTTGATGACTAACTTAGAAAAGATATTTTCCATATGCCTTACTAGTTTTCACATAAAAACTTCATCTATTACTGCAATTTAAGGTATGTAAGCAGGCATGGAAATTGTTGATTTATATGTTTATTCAAGGAAAATATGTGGAGAAATTACCTGAGTTCTTAACTTGAATTCAGCAGCAAGATCTTCCAAGGGTACACATTTATGTTTCTGCAACATCAGGATTAATAGTAGTATTAATAACGAAATCACAACCTCAACTTGAAAGCCTCACTTTGTCAACCATTAACTCATCCGATTGAGGTCTCATATGGAAGACATGCAAACATTTGAAAGAAAAATAAACTCAAAACAAGTAAGGCTATCTTAAGGAGGACACAAAAAGATAAATTAGCCATTGTACGCACAAGCTTCTCATTGTGGTTCATTCATTCAGGCATCACCTCAAGTTCAAATAAAGTTTGACCATAACAGCTAGGGAGTAAAATTGTTTAGCAAATAAGCCAACGACCAGGTTGAACTACACCAGACAAGGTAAACAAACTACAATCCAACCTTAATATCCATAGATCATTAGGCCATTTTCATCCCTAGTTTTGATGCCCACCCAATGGAAATATCAAGGGGGTAGCTACAAAAGTAAAGAACAATATCTCTGAATGACTGTAACAGGTACAGAACTGAAAACTACCTTTATGTATTCCACAAAATCAGAGAGCAAATCCTGATGTCCATCCTGCACTTCATTTTCTGTAGTACCTTCAGCATCTATAGAAAACTCTCCTTTCCACTTCTCGAACTCTAATGCAGCAGCTTCCTCCTCCCTAGCCTTCTGAGCCTTGGCTTCTTCCTCCTATAAAACAATAGTCATATCTTCAGCCAGTAATCCAACCACACACACATATACGCATCTTAATTATCCAACAGAGAGCAGAAAATCAACATACCAGCTGATGCTCCTGCGCCTCACGCTCCTCATCTTTTCTCCTCCGCATTTCAGCATAGCGGTCTTGTTTTGTATTCCTTGATTCACGTGCAGCTTGTTCAGCCTTCAAACAATGGGATGGAACCAAATAAAACAAACTAATTCTTCTTCACTTGAAAGGAAAAAAAGGGGGAAATAAAATAAAAAGAATGCAACGACAACCATGAAAACAAATCAGGAACCCGCAGAAATAAATGCTTTTTCATGTTTTAGCTTTTTATATCTATAGAATGCTGTAGTAATCAAACTTGTTAACACTTCCTACACTGACTACAAGGAATCAGCTTATGTCTTTATCTCAATATTCGGATATCTGCAAACTCATTAAAATGTAAGGGCTGCTGGACATTCAGGACAGGACAAGTTTACTAGAAAATGCAGAGAGAGAGACAGAGAGAAAATGCAATCTTTCAAATGAAGAGATAAAAAGGAGAAACAATACTTGTCGTTGTGCTTCCCGCTCCTGACGCTTCTTTTCCCTTTTCTTAGATGCTTTGGCTTCATAATACTCACCCTCACCTTCCTCATCACTTCCATCAACAGTTTCTGTATTTAGAATTATTGATGGTCACTTTATTTGACAGAATACCACTTTTTCTACTTATACAGATTACATAAGGAAAAACAATTTTCCTTAATATAGGTACCTAACACTAGTGAATGCAACAGACAAGTCCAAATTTGCACCTCCACTTATGCAGGTTACATTTTCTAAACTGAATACGACTGCCTCATTTTAGAAGTCTCTTCATGAATGAATAAACCTATTTCTCCCCGTTGAATAATCACAGGTCTAACCACACTAGATCAAACCTTGTAAACCGCATTTTCCCCCACTAATCGTCATTGGATGAGAGCATTATCTATTGGAAAGACATTATTTATATTTTCATTCTTTATTGTCTTACCACTACTCAACATTTGGCACCTTAAAGCAAAATAAGATCGTGTACCGATTGCTATCTATTTCAATCATGATTCATGCATAACACAAAACATATCCAATCAAAATGATACGAACAGCGCAAAACCTCACAGAGTCCCAATCAGTCATATAATTCATCCATTCAGCTTATATGGAACATACTCCACTCTCTTACTCGTTAAATATCAAACCCAGAAAATGAAAATAGACACTTCTAAGCATTCTTTTAGTCACCAACGTGAATAAAAGAGAGCAGCAGACCACAAACCTTCTACAACTGGTGCAGCAGCGGCAGCTGATGTGCTTGCTCCAGAAGCCGGCCTCCTTCGCATCCGACGAGGACCAGTGGCACGCACTACACCTTCCCTCTGAGCAACCTAAATTAATTTTTTTTTTTAAATTAAGAGAAAATTATGAAATGAAAACAAATAAATCTCGAAACAATTACATTGCAATGGAATTAGGTTTAGAAAAATCAAACCTGCGGCTCTTCTTCGTGATCGTGAGTCAATCGAGAATCTTGGCGCCGTTTCCATAGATAAAGTGGAATTAATGCCAAAACAAGAAGCATAGAAAGAACTACAGCCAACATTTCCTCCATATTTTCTCAATCTCAGGCTGCCAACAACACCACCACTCAAATGAGCCTCTATAAAATACGCTTCGGAAACTAAAATTAAACGTGCAAAATTCGGATTGAATGGCCTTGTAATGTCTGAAGCTTTCTTTTTGTTCTCTATTTTTCTGAGGCTTTCTCGGAAACCAAACAGAGAGTTATGGTCACGACTTACCGTACTAGCAGTTAAGCTTTCGATAATCGACGAAGGAAGATTTAATTAGTAAATTGGTTAGCTGAGAGAAGTGAGAACGAGACGACCTGCTCCTCACACGACCCACGAGCCCCTTTTTAGGTTTTCTACGGTTTCTAGAGGCGGACGCGTAGCTTTGCTCTGTGCTTTTGGCTTTGTTTTCTCCTTCGCCAAGAGGACCCGTGTCATTACCCCCTAGAGAGGGTGGGGAGAAATTACGTTTGTTTTTTCTTTCCAAGTTCCAAAACATGGAAAACATTTTTTTATATATTTGTATTATTTAAATTAAAAACAACATTAAATTAAACACCAAACACTAACAATGGGATTAAGAGACTCATTGCCAAACATATCATTACAAAAATAGTGATACACTTTGGGAGCTGGAATCCTATCGTAAAGTACTATATAATCTGTTAATGTTTGCATATCTTGTCGAACTACTTTCTGACCCAAAAAAAAAAAAAAAAAAAAAAAGACGAAATATTGGCCGACTATAATGAATTTTTGTGAGTACACTTTTAACTTAAAATCTAATGATTTTTTTTTATATAAAAGAAATCTTATCTTTGCAATTTGAATCTCTAAAAATTTCTTGGCATCAACCGAATAAGCTTCAGTAATGCAAATGCAAATATATAAATTATTAAATTTCAGTTATATATTAGTTGTAAACACAAGAACAATAAAATTATGTTAATATATTGTTCCGTTCTTGAAAGAGAATACAAATAAACTTGAGAAATGCCTACAAATGAACACACTAGAAATGTTGAAAATGCCTACAAATGAACATTCACGTGCTGCCATCCGTCTTCATTTTTTTATGGGCTTAGCGATTATGACAAAAGTTGCAAAAAAATAAGCATTACATGAGTAAAATTTCCGAAATTGAAATTATGTGAACAAAAATGTAAAATTACTCGAAGGAGCATCGAACGTCATTATGGTGGTGATGACCTATGGTGGGAATCATGAGATTATTTTAAAAGTACTTGTGAGAATGAGTAAATGAACTCAAGTTCATCCATCACCACTTCTTAGGCCCGTGAATCCATTTAAACGAAGTGTATAGAGTTTTTTCTTTGGTCAAAAGTGTATAGAGTTTAGGGGTGGGAAAGAAAATATTTTTGCTCACCACATTTCTTTTGGGTGTATGCTCATCATCATTCTTAATACTTAACATATATTTATAGGCATAATCATGGTTAATTTTTTACTTTGATTTATATAACCATTGTTATGCTTATGAGGGGTATGTGTCAAGTGTTGAGAAGAGTAATGAATATACATATACCTTGGGTTAAAGTGGTGAGCAAAAATGATCCCAATGGAGATTGGATACCATGAGAACCAACCACCATGCCATAGATGTAGACCTTCATATTAACCACATGATTCATCTAAATAGTAACTTCACTTAAGTTTAACGAAATGATCATGTGACTAATATGAAGATCCACGTGAGATGTCCCATATATGGCATCTTCATTATAGAATTTCGAATCCAATTGGCACCAAGTTGGGCCAACATATACACATTTGGGCTAATGGAGCCTAATTGGTTTTGGACCAATGGAACCCTTTTGGGCCATTGGAGACTCCTGATCAATGACCGGCCCATAAAGATTTGCAAACCAGGCGCATTGAGCGAATGGTCTTTATAGGTTTCTCTTTTAATATTCAATGGAGGAGGAAATAGGGGCACACAAGCACAAGCATAGAACTTGCCTAGAAAAAGAAGATAATAGGAAGCAAGTGATGCTCCCATTTCCATTTCCAACAAAGTCTTAGCAAAACAATTACAGATACTGCCACATTATTAACAAAACTCAGTTCACATTGCCAACATCAAATATCAACACCATCACTTACCGACCACCATAAACTCACTTCTAACCACTATTATTTCCGGCTTGGTTTTTTTTTCTCTCTTCTCCCCAATTTTAAGCCTCCGCAATCTCAGCAGAATCCGCGGCAGCCAAGATCAGCTCTGGTTGAATGCTTCCCACATATGATCCATCCAAAGCGTTGGGAAGCCCTAGTGACTTCAATGCCAAGTGGGCTGCCTTTTGCCCTGATATCATCATGGCTCCAAACGTAGGTCCCTGCATCACCAATAATACCCAAATTGCAAATCATTATGTTAAGTCACAATCTCAATTAGGACCACCATTTCCAAACACAAAATCCAAGTTACATAAGGTCACAGAATCAACTAGGACCACAATATAATCAAGTAATGGAACTTTTGCAAACATACAAGAACAGAACAAGGGAAAAGGTTTTGGACCCATATTCCCTTTGAACTCACTATCTTTGAATTGAGTGCAGAGGGGAACAAGACATAGTCGTAAAGGTTCCCAAATAGAGGCCATTACATATGTCACTACCGTTTAGGAAAGGCTAGCAAATGAGATTGGTTTGGGTCCCTTCCTTATTATCATTGAGGATGCAATTCTAGGTCGGGTCTACTCTACCTTTCACGATTAAAAGGACAAAAAATTTATTTCCTTCCTACTATTATTATAGGGGAACATTATTTGCACCACCTCGAATATTCTCACTCCGTCAAAGGCTCAAAGCACTCGGCACTATGTTAGAAACTCAAGATATCAAGGGGAAGACAACTTTTATAAATTGCTAAATCACCTAAGTCCCAAGATATATGACCATCAAATCACCAGTATTGAACAAAAAATAGCAGCATTTGACTATAATGACGTTGATTGAGTTAAGCGTTTTAAGTAAAAATGACCCAGAAACACTGATTTTACTGTGCAAATATGACTATTATTCTAAAACTTTAATTCTAAATTATTATATATGCTAAAGGACCAAATAATCCTTAATGTTTTATCCGAACAGTCTAAGCCCAGGCAGTCATCGCGACCCCTATCTTGACCAATTTGGTTTCTATGGCTTAAGAGTGTTTGTATAAGACATCAAGGATAATTTAGTCCCTTCCATCAGAAAGGAATCAAAGTTATAAGTTTGGCATGGTACTTTAAAAATTCAGTCAAACAAACGATGCATGCAAAAACAGTCAACATGGTATTAAGCGTAAGCAAACTTCCATGCCAGTAATAGTGAATAAATCCATGAGAAAGAAATTTACCATTCTTGGAGATCCATCTATCTCGGCAACTTCCATGCCTGTAACGATCATTCCAGGCACAATCTCCCTTGTCAGCTCCACGATGGCATCTTCAGCCGCGTTCATGTCCAAGGCCTTCATCCCGGGCACGCTCTCGATCATCCCAATGCTCCGTAACCTCTTGACCCCAGTGGCTCCCATGGGCCCGTCGTGACCGCAGGAGCTCACAACCACCTTGGCCTCCATGACATTAGGGTCCATGCAAGACTGTGTGTCATGATTCATCGAGACCAATGCCCAGTTGGTGACCACACCACCAACTCTTCCACCTTTAACGATCAGGTCCTCAGCAGCCACAGCGTTGAAGAGCTTCACGTTGGGCCGAGCAAGGAGCTTGCTCATGATAGTGGAGGTGAATAGGGCGGCGTGCTTGATGACAACGTAGTGGTCTTTCTCATCGTAGGCAATGCCGAGCTCATTTAGAAAAAGGTGAGCTGGTTTACGCACAACCTGTAAATTATTTGTTATTAGATATACAATCACAATTCTATATTAGTTTTTTGTATCAAATTTGGTAACGCTAATTACCAAAAAAAATATTTATTATTTATTTTCAATATATATCTCGACTTTTCGAATGGACCGAATCCCAATTGAAGCTTTTCAAAATGCTTTTGACAGAAAATCCGACAATAAAAACAATTTAAAGAAATATGTATATATATATATACACACACACAATTCATTCCAACAAAAAAACATATCATTAAAAAATACTATTTACACAAAGAAAAACAACATGCACGGCGATAACAGTCAAATTATCAAAATCCAGACCCGGCATGCGAGACACGTGTCACACAGCGAGACAATAAAATAAAATGAAGACCACTTGATACTTAAATTAAATTAGTTTTAAATTACCGTGGCGGAAAATAAACAGCTAAACTACAAAACAACAATCATTAATTAAGGTGGCTCGAAAATAATTAATGGAGGTAGAAATGAGATTACCATGGCGGAGAAGAGCTGGCCACCGAGCCACGCACCACCGCCGGGGCTGACGGACTGCTCGATAATGGCGACCTGAACGTTGGGGTTCTTGCTGAGCTCGTAGGCGCAGGAGAGACCGGCGGATCCGGCGCCGACGACGACGACGTCGGTGTCGGCGTAGGTGATCATATCGGTCATGTAGCGCCTGGTCATCTCCCTGGAGACGATGGACTCCTTGATGGGGTCGAACTTGAAGGCGCTGAGGTCGTACGACGGCGTCGAGCCGTTGGCGGACATGGAAACAGAGAGGCCATGGTTGTTGGAGTTGGTGGCGGCCTTGGCGGGCTGAAGGCGGACGACGGGAGTGCCATGGAAGGAGGAGTCGAGGAGAGAGGGCTTCTGGAGCTTGGTGGTAAGGGAGGAGGAGGTGAGAGTAGAAGCCATGGATGCCATTGAAGGAAGAGAGAGAGAGAGAGAGAGAGAGAGAGAGGGGAGATGATAAGATTGATTTGGGTTTAGGGTTTGCAATTGATGGGAGTGAGGAGGGTGGGTGGGTATTTAAGGAGGGAGAAGGGGACTGAAATATCTGTGAGGGAATTGGGAGGGGCCACGTGGGAAGAAGATAGGATATGAATGAAGGGTCTAGAATTTTGTGAGGTAAAGCTCAGCTCAGCGCGCAGGTCAGGTACAAGTGGCACACATGAACCAGTCCACAGTGTGGGTTGAGTTGTGGGTGTGTGTGTGTGTGAGGGTGTACTTCACTGTCATTTGCCTCTGATCTTTTTAGGCGGTTCATGTGGGGTGTGTGCCATTTTTCGTACTTTTTTTGCAAACCGTTATTGTCATTATCAGTGACAAAGGCTCCTTTAAAGAAATAATATATTTTCATAGGGTGGACGGATCGGCTTTGCGTTGATTATTTTTCTGTTTGGGTGTGGGAATAGAGGGTAAATACCTTTTCATTTTCCCTCTTTTTTCTTCCACAAATCATGGTGGGGTTACGCTAATCATTCTAAATTAAGCGTCTTTGTACTTAATGGGGGTAATTTTCAATTTGCTAATCGAATAGATTTATTTGATATTTTTGTAGGCACACTTTGGTTTCCTTTATTTCGTATCTTTTGTCATTTTCGCTATCAAATGGTCCATTGACACGCAACATGGCAATAAATCAACCGCAAATTATTTAAAATAATGAAATAAATTATTGAAAATTTTTAAAAAAGAAAACATGTCACTCTCTTTCCAATCCCCTCCTCCTTCCCCCCTCCTAGCCCAACCACTACAACTCCCCAAAATAACCGTCCCTTCCCTCTCACCAATAAAATACCCAACTTTAGACTTGTCAATGGATCAAATTTTGATATGAATCCATTACAACTCTATTTGGTTTATGGAATGGATTTGAGAATAAATTACTTCCCATGTCATTTCTCAAGGGATGGAAAATGAAATATTTATTTTCCATATAAGTAACCTGGAGATATCACTTTATTTCATTTTCCATGTTTGTTTTGATTATGAATAGAAAACAAAATTTGTATAATTTTCAATTATACCCATATTAAATCAAATAAAAAAAATACATTTAATGATATATTATAATTCTAAATTGTTAATGTAGACAAAATGATCATGAAAAATGTGCATTTAATGTTAGCTTATTTTTCCAAACTTTTCCATGATAAGGGAAAACAAAACCCAAGGAGAGAGGAGAGCTTCACTTTCCCCCCTTGCTTTCCCATGAGCAAGATAACCATTTCCCATGCTTGAACTTACCAAACATGGGAAAGCAATTTATTTCTCATTCCCAAGCCTCCTTCCCCATGAACCTAAAGAGGAATGCTAGTAACCTCTTTTTAGAATTAAATAAGAGATGGAATTTTCATTTTAATTGAATATATCCAATTCAATATAGCCCACCAAACATGGCCTTAGTTTTTTTTTTTTTTTTTTTTTTTTTTTTTTGGGGGGGGGTGAATTCATTCAATGAAAGGGATTACACAGTCAGAAAATGCAAAAATAAAAACCAACCCAACACTGATAGGTACAAGGCCTAAAACAAACAGCTAGCCCAAAGCAAACACAAAAGGAAGAACCCTAAATTTTGAGAAGCTACAGTAGCCACTTTCCTCTTGCCGCACCACCGCTGCAAATCCACAACCGCCAGAGATGGGTAACCAATAACCAGACAAACCATTGCTTAAAACGGAGAATGGTGGTGGACAAACCACCCACGCAAAGAGCGCTATCATAATCCTTAAAGCTAGTGCAAATAGCACTTTTGAAGCATCCTCATCCATGGAGTCGAGGAGCAGCGGCCGGTGGTAGAGATCTCGGGTCGGGACACAGCCGGAGGGAATGTGTGGAGGACACCATAACAGAGAAGGGGCAAGGGATGTAAAGATGAGAAGTGTGGATTGAAGAACAACATTTATAGGTGGGGAAGACAAAGAGTTTTTCAAATTTGGGCATAATTTAGGGAAACTTAAGGTGAGGGTGAAGAGGAAAAGGTAAAGAAAGTCAAACATGGGGAAAGGGGAAGAGGAGAACTTGGGGGAGATCAGAGGAATAGGAAGGAGTTGGAGAAAAGATTCAGAAAAGGAGCAAAAACAAGCAAACAGAAAAATAACATAAACTCTCTCAGAGGAGAGGAAGAGCTTTCACAGAGGAGAGAGAAAAATAGGAGAAAGAAGAAGTGGGAAGGAGGAGAGGAGAGGAGAGGGGAGGAGGAAATAGGCGCTGCAAATTTTTTCAAGTTCTATCGTACTAATTAGTTCATTCATGAAGTCCGTTAGAAGTGCTTTCGAATAGCAATTGACCTCAAGTATCAAATTTGAGCTAGCCAAATTTACACTTCTTAAGAAAAAGAACAAAAAGCGAAGCTATTTTTCATCAAGAACCCGCTTTCGAGTAGTACTTGAACCTCTAAGTGAACAAGCATTGTGAGAAGAGTGATCCAAACAAGCCATTTGAAAGAGAGAATATTTGGATATACCGTCAAGTAGTTCAAGTAAGAAGAACTTAGTTTAAGGGAGGATATACTGGGGGGCAGAATATACTGGGGAAGAGGAGGCACTTAATGATACCACATAGTAAGAAGAACTTATCTTTTGATCAAGAAACCAAATGATACCACATAGCCTCTCCCATACCCTAATCAAGAAACCAAATTATACCACATAGCCTCTCCCATACCCAATCTTTATATGTTTATTGTTTTCCATTCACAGAAAATAATTTGCTGGGAAATCTGGATAAGGAGCATTCTTAATATATTCTTTATAGAGATTGAAATTAAGACGGCCACAAGTTGTCATACACTCCATGATCAATCCACATAACACTAGTTGCTTGGCAATTAGAACACACCAGAAACACAATACACATGGCGGACAAACTTATAGATGATGTAAAATCCAGATAACATGTTCTGCCCTGAGTGTACAGGGAGATGTATTCTGCAGCGAGTTGAGTTGCTGCAACAGCTCAGAAACCATGAATTTTTATGTTGTCTTTCTTCACAATGCCGGCCTGTAGAGAGAACGAGAATCAAGATTAGATTCCTCTAAATTGTTGCATTTTCAAACCATCTAATAGAACTAAGATGCCAAAAACTGGAAACAATCAAGCAAGCACTTCCACAACTTAACACGACCTATAGAACACATTAACATCATCTAAACCATTTTTGGGACTGGTAACTACCTGGACGAGGAAGGAAGACACATTCTTTCTCTGATCACCTTGAAGCTGAATGACCTGTAGACAAACAAGATGACAATCAGACGGTGTCTAGTACAGATTAAATTATAGCTTTTACCATATTAAACACACACCTGTCCTAGTTCTGGGTCCTGGACAACTGTACCATTGCAGCAAAATTCCTTCTTAAGGTCTTTGAGTATCTTGTTGTAGCTAAACTCCTTCTTCAATCCCTGCACGGTTGTCAGGCTTTTCCTGCCGTTCCGTTGCTGTATACGAATGTGCACATACTCTTTTGTCCCAGCACCTGAGTCCTCAGCATTTGCCTCAGCAAAGGGATCTGAACCCAAGCATCAGTATTCAAATTAGATTAATGAAGGGAGTCAAAAGAAAGGATGAGAGACAAGGAAGCGAAGGAGGGATGATATCCAATTCTACAAACACATAAGACCTCGTGCAACAATCAAGAGAACTTAAGAGGGGATAAAAACTAAACTTAGAAGGGGTTAGCATTGTAGAAGTGCATAATTCCTTTAAAATGACTGATTGGTGCCATTTTTCTCCAGTAGAAAAAATAAAGTTATACTATTTTTTGGTGAATTTTTTTATTTGTTCTTCTTGCTTTAGATTCTAAATATGGAATGCTTTCCCACTCGATGTTTACTTATTTGGTATTTAGCTATCCAGACTCAAACCTATGTTCCTTGAAGTGAAGGCCACTGATTTAGAAGGGAGTAGCCTACCACCGCTTTTTTCATAAGTTCAAGGAAAAATAATAAAATATATCCTAGACAATGTGGGAAATGTTCAACAAGATTTTTATTCTGTGCTTCAAATGTATACCAATAAAAATGAGTAACAGACTAATAATGAAGTGGCAGCAAGAGTGCATGCGTAATGTTCAAAGAACCCCATGCCCAACCTTATATATTTCATTTCACCACACATACACATTGGTCAATGTTGGTTTAATCAGATATTATAGTACATAATCCCAACACCTGAACCAATGACTTCAGATTCATAAAATTAGCGGGAAAACCTAACCATTTAGGTTTCTTTGGGTTGATCAGTTGGTCAGATTTCTGAAGAGTACTAGTTGACACACTCTGTTGATATACAATAAAAACCAATTGCTCAAACAACAGTCCTTCTAAATTGCAGTAGTCTTACATGTTAGTGTCTAAAATGATCCCTTAAGCATTTGGGTATCCAAGTTGTCAACCAATATAATGCCCCAGAGCCATCAAACAACATATCCAAAAGAATTCATATGTAGAGTTACAAGCATGTCTGCAAGCGCATAAACACACACAGATGAGTTATGAATAACACTGAACATACCAAAGGCGGTAGGAATCTGTACGTCGAGCTCAGACATGAACCTTGGTTGATTAACCTAAGAGGGCCTGCTAACCAGAATGCTCAGACCTGGATCACATCAAAAAGAAAATTTAAATCACCATTTTATCTGACCAAGATAACCCAAGAATAAAGCTGATAAAAACATAAGAAAGCACAGATCACATAATCCAAAAAATTATAACCCATCTACTTTTGTCAACTTTGTCATCATAAGACTCTAAATCGAATGCAATTGCAATACAGAAGGCATATAATTTTATAAAATCACAGTTTCTTTGGACCCTAAATTTCTGACTTCCATATTGATGAGAAACAGAACCTAGTTAAAAGTAAAAATTGAAAACAAAAGAAAAACAAAAAACACAAAATAGAGGGTTAGAAAGACAAAGCACCATAATTTTGGCTTCATATTAATAAAATATATATTTTTTTAAATGATTTTTTTCTTTCTTTCAAGTATTAGAGAAAAAAACAGAGCTCCCAATGAAAAAAGTTATCTTTTAATCTTTTTTCAGATCAGATTGTGAAGACTTAGAAGTAAATCATCTAAATAATAAAACTTTGTTCTACTCTCTCAGAACATCTTCGCTTCCTAATACTTTCCGTTCAAACAAAACTAAGAAACGATCTCCAATTTATATACAAAATCACTAAAATTCAGAGCAGAAATAAAACCATAAAAACCCTAAAACAGAGACAAATAGGAATCGCGGGAATTCAAGACCCAATTACCTGATCCGATAATTAGGGTTTTGGAATTGGCGAGTCGGAAAGAGGAAAAACCCTAACCCCAAAAATCAGATAAGCCTGAGCTCTCTCGACCTCTCTTTCTCTTACTAGATAGCTGTTTGGGAAGACAGAAAAAGTGAAAAGAAAATTTGCTTGAGATGGATGTTTTGATAATAGTAAGTTTATTTAATTAATAAAAATAAAAATAGGTAAACAGTGGACTTTGGATTCAGTCGGTTCATTTGCACTCGCAGACGTTTTCATTTGATAGTATACGCGCTGTCAAGGGAACTTTTAAAGTTTGCATCGACAGGTGTCGTTAGGAGAAAGCGAGTGTGGATATGAGTGTATTTACGACGGTGTGTGAGGTAGGGAAAGAGCAACAAGGTTTTCCGTTCCTTGTTGAAATAATGGATTTAGTCGGTCTTGTCTGTTCTGGAACGATCAATACGGCATCGTTTGTGATTGGCGATTGACGTCAACGTTTCACCCACAGCAAACGTTGGGGGGAAAAATTGAAAAATACATGTTATCTTCCTAGAAAATCCTTAATCCCTTATTATTATTATTATTATTTTTTTTTTTTCATACAAGTGTCGAATATTGCTTGCTTCGTTCCCTTAAATAACGCATTATAGCCTCTTCAATAGCTTTGGAATGCTAAAATAGGTAAGCCATATAAGAAAAACTTCCTCCAACAAACTTGTCAAACTTAGTCACCAAAACTGCAACTCCTTTCTCTCTTTTCAGGACTGACAAGTTGACCTTTACTCTTCAAAATATTTAATTTTGCTTTGGAATAACAAAACTTACATTGAAAATGCTAAAAACCTACGCTTTTTCTTTTAAAATAATAAATATATAGACTTTCGTCACAAGTTTTCTTCTTTCTTTCTTTCTTTTCTTTTTTTTGCCATGATATTGCATTAATTGAATTGAAGAGTGTATTGGGTCACAAATTATTAAAGTAGCAAACAAATATTTTCAAATTGTCACATAAGTCAACAAACTTTACTTTGAAGAGTTCAATTTGCTGCTATTATGGGAGATGCTCTTATTAGACCCGGCAATATTGGACACGACCCGTTAACACGACACGAATTCGCACGAAAATAACAGTATTTGGGTCGAGCTTAATGGGTCGGGTTGAAAACGGGTGGACCCGTTACTCACCTGTTAAGCTAACGGGTCGTGTCAGTATTATTCGCAAATCACCCGTTAACCCGTTAAGAGGAAGGGCATTTTTGTAATTTTCGTTATAAAATTAACCTAGACAGAATTGTATCATCTGTTTCACATCGCTACCCTTCTTCCTTCTCATCTCACGCCGCTCTCAGCCTCTCACTCTGCTGTCTCTTTCTCTCAAGAAAAACAAACACTCTCTCACGTTCTCTCTCTACATCCAAACCAAACCATCAACAACATCAACTACCTATCTTTCCTCTTCTCCACCAGAGTCTTTCAATTCAAGCATCGGGTTGATAACATTTCCGTAAAAGTTGAAAAGGTAATCGAAAGTTCTCTCCTTTTGTTTGATTCTGATCCTTTTGTTAAAGCAAGATTTCATTCCTTTTTTACTTAATCAGACATTCTGTGGCTTGATCTGCAAAGCTTGAAATTTCCGGTGTAACACTTAACATTTTAGTAATTGGCTAAGCTTGTACACCAGTCTCTTTTTTCCAATGGTGGAGAAATAAGACTACTGCAGTTTATATTAAAATAGATATGAGATGCTTCAGCTGTTAAAGGAGGGACTGAAACATTTAGGAATCAATCATTTAGTTGACTTGTTTGGAGCCCTGTGAAATAGATATTCATGAAAGAGAAAGGCCCACTTTTGCAATTCAATAGAATACGTGCTTTCTAGTTTCACTACTGCACTTTCTGTCTTTTAGGATGTTCCTGCTTTCTAGTTTCAGACATAGTTAATTTGGTTACTGAAATGTTTCGGGAGAGAAAACAAAGGAAAAAAGAAAGGTTGAGAACTTGTGATTGGTGTATCTTCTTCTGGAACATTAGCACTTCAGCTAAGTTGGACAGTTGTATTAGGTTTGTACTTCGCTTCCAAATTCTTGCAATTAAAAAATCTAATACCACTTTCTATTGATACTTGAAACGAACTAGAGCTTGTCATAGGAAAATTGCAATTGAGTCACAGAACCCATTAAATGCTAGTGGGGAGCATGGTCTCTGTTCTCCACCCAGTTGTTGAGTTTGGTGGTTCTGGAATAGGGAGTGTTTGCATAGTATGATCTGTTTATATAGGGCAAGGAGAGGAGCCGATTCAGTCCTTAATTGTTTAGTGGCTTCTGCCTATTTTATCAACTTGCTGCACTATGTTCTTTGTTTGATTTATTTACTGGTTTAGATGAAGACTTGTTAATTAAAAAAACTAATTAACAATTGCTGCACTATGTTCTTTGTTTGATATTGAATTTATGTCCATTTTTTTTTCTTTTGAAGCTCATGGATGTTACAGAGAGTACTGAAGGTATGAGACTCACAGATGAGGAGTCTATTGATGTTTCAATGGGTGGGGATACAAGTGCTGCAAATGCAGAAGATAAAGAGTCAAGCCCTAGAAGCAAAAAGCCTAGAGGCATCACTATTGGTAAGAGAAAATTGAGATCTTCTGCTTGGGAAACATTTGATTTATTGCCTCTTGGAGAAGATAAAAAAAGGCGTGCTAAATGTAGAAATTGTGAGACAATTTATGTGTGTGATAGTAGGTGTGGGACTGGAAATTTGTTGAATCATGCTAAAAATTGCCTTAAGAAACCACATGGAGATGTGAAACAATTACTTATGTCATCATCTGGATTGCGTTCCCCTAAATTTGATCATATCAGATTTCGTAACTTGTTAATAGAGGCAATCATAAAACATAACTTGCCTTTTAGCTTTGTTGAATATGAGGGAGTTAGGGCTTTGTTTGCTTATGTCTCGCCGGATATTAAGTTGCCTTGTAGAAATACTGTTAAGGCATGTGTGTTGAGGATGTTTAAAAGTGAAAGACAAAAACTTCAGAGTTTGTTAAGCTCAGTTCAGGGAAGAATTTGTTTAACATCAGATTTATGGACCTCTCTATGCACTGATGGTTATCTTGCTCTTACTGCCCACTTTGTTGATAAAGATTGGAGATTACAGAAAAGAATTATCAACTTTTGTCATATGCCTCCTCCACATTCTGGTGTTGCATTATCTGAAAAAATCAATACATTGTTAACTGAGTGGGGGATTGAGAAGAAGTTGTTTTCTATTACTCTTGATAATGCTTCTGCAAATACTGCTTTTGTTGATATTTTGACGAATCAATTGAACTTTAGATCTCTTCTATTGATGGGTGGTAAGTTTTTTCATGTGCGTTGTTGTGCCCACATTTTAAACTTGATAGTCCAAGATGGACTTAAAGAAATTGATTCTTCAGTGACAAAGATTCGGGAATGTGTCAAGTATATAAAGGGATCCGAGGCAAGGAAACAAAAATTCTACGATTGTGTTGCACAAGTAGGGATTGTGGGTAGTAAGAGAGGATTGAGACAAGATGTCCCTACTAGATGGAATTCAACTTATACCATGCTTGATAGTGCACTTTTCTATCATCGTGCATTTATTAATTTAGGGTTGATTGATTCCAATTTTAGTAGTTGCCCTTCTCCCCCAAGAGTGGATTAAAGTAGAGAAGATTTCCAAGTTTTTGGGGTATTTTTATGAAGTGACATGCTTATTTTCTGGAACAAAGTACCCCACATCAAATTTATTCTTCCCTAAGATCTTCATAATCCAACACCAAATCAAGGCAGCCATTGAAGATGATGATATTTTCATGAATAAGATAGGAACTAATATGAGCATGAAGTTTGAGAAGTATTGGTCAGAGTACAGTTTAATTCTTGCAATTGCAATTATCTTGGATCCTCGTTATAAGTTGCATTTTGTAGAGTGGGCTTATACTAAGCTTCATGGTAAGGATTCTCGAGAATTCAAGGGTGTTACAGACACATTGACTTCCCTTTTTCATGTGTACACGGAAACTTTATCTCCTCTTCTTAATGCAAGTTTTCCAACGAATGAGACAACTAGTCACAATGAAGGTGGAGACACCATTCTTGAGGTAAATTCAAATTATTTCTTATTGTTTTATTTATGTATTGTTTCATATTGTATATTTGCATGTAACTAATAATTGTTTTTTGATTTTGTATGGTGTAGGATTTTGATAATAGTTACAAAAATGGTTCAAGTTCATGTAAGAAAAATGAATTGCATAAGTATTTGGATGAGGAA